GCTCCGGGAGGGTGTGCTTCACTCCCTAATGCTTTCTGCTTCACTCCCTCCCGGAGCCCGTTCCAGTCCTCATCCACGGGTTTGGGGAGCTGAAGGGGAGCGAGAGGGGTGAAGTGCAACTGCAAGGAGCTGTGGGAGACTTTAAGGGTCTTCCCCCCCCCCTCCGCTCCCCCAGGCTGATGTTTTCTTCGGCTCCCACTCCTCGTTCCCCTGGGGAATTGGACCCCCACCCTAAGGATCCTCAGGACGCAGACCTTCCTCCATCCCCCCCTCCCTCTCCCAACCGCGTATGTGCGTCTCCATCCCTTGACAAGAACCAGACCTCGGAGCTTGTGCTCATGCGAGGGGTGGGGAGGGCGAGGGGCTCCCCGGGAAAGGAGCGCTGTGGAGCAGCAAGTGGGGCCCAGAGGGGTGTGAGCTGATGCAGCTGTACTGCCGCTGATCCAGACGTGAACTTCGCCGCCGCCGCCGCCGCCTCCAGGGCCTCTGCTAGGCACTGCACGTTTACTTTTTTACCAAGAAACTGCTGCTACCTATATATAATAACCTGGATTAATAGTTGGCGTGATTCACGCTTTCAACAGCAGTCTGTCAGGGTACGAGAAGGTCAAAGCAGAATGAGGAAAACAAGGCAAAATAAAGAGGAAGCTACAGTGAACTATGTAGACCTATATAAGCTCGCAAGACACTAGCAAGAACCTCTGATGCTCTCTCGAACATGCCTTTTTATCGAGTTTGGGGGATGTGGCGCGGCTTTCACATATAAGTCTGGGGTTTTTTTCTTATTTTAACCCTTTAGAGTAATTAATCGGTATTTGACATAGATAGGCTTTCTGGGAAATGCTATGAAAATGTTACAACGAGCAGTAGAAAGCCTAACGTACTTAAATAAAGCCAGTGGACCACCCTGAAGAGAGCCTCTCTCCCCTTGGAGCCTGATCCTCACTGAAGTCAATGGGAAAACTTACGGGGGTACTAGTGATTCGGATTCAGAGATGCAGGAAGCTGAGTCCACAGCTTAAGTCTCAACTTCATGTCGTTTGTCTCCAGATCCCCAAACTGAGGTAGAAAAAGTCAGGAAGAATGTCAGCCTCTCTTGGGCCTTACCTGTAAATAGACCCTGTTGTGCCAGCGCTGCACGCCAGGTAAAGCTGCTTCCGGGAATTTTGCCAGGCTGGCTTGTAGAAAGGCAGAGCTTTTCAATAGAGACTTCCCCTCCAGTTGCAGGAATTTATCGGGATGGTTGTTGTTTGGCAAAATAGACAGGTCCATGTTTCTGTCCTGTACAGTAACAACGAAAACAGCCCCAGCTTCTGCTTCCTGGCTGTGCACGCTCCTTCTATTATTAATGACATGAAGAAGGATACGACAGTTTCCTGAAACTGTATCTGACCCCTGTTTGGTGTCAGGCTCACTTATATCATCTACCAGTGATAAATGTTTAGAAGCGGCAGAGCACACAGGACATGTTTCTGTAACTGCCCAGCTTAAGTTTTCAAGTTCAAGTTCTATTTTGATAGATACATATGTGCTCATTAAAGCTAACAGAGTACCAGTGAGTAGATGCATGAGACACTTCAATGCATACCAGCACTTCCTCAAGTGACCTGCCAAAAATGTCAAGCTTACAATACTTCAAAGCAAGCTTTTTTCCCCCTGAAAATTAGAAGCAGCTCCCAGTGCAGAGCAAGTCCTCCTCTTCTGTGGCGGTACTGAGAGGCTCCATTGTGCTGCGTGGGTCAGTACCGTTTACCACAACGGCAATGACATGCACTTCCTTAGGTTCAGGGATTTCTTTCACAGTAAATTCTTCTTGACCCTGGGAAATACTAGATTGTTTCAAGTAATTGATAACAGAAGTTTTCAGGGAATTGAATCTGCTCCTGTTCAAGTGAATGGAAAAAACACTTACTGACTTAAATGGCATAGAGTCAGTCTTTTCAGTTTCATTATTTTTTTTTGAGATTAGAAATTTTAATCATCATTCATCAAGTTTTAAGTTCTTTTAACTTCCAGCTAATGTAGTTCCCCTTCTCATCATGGCCATTACTTACAACCAGCAAAAGTAGTCCCCTCACTTGTATTTTAACCTTTTTTTTCAAATGTTTCCATTTTCCTAAGATGTTTCATTTATGATGATTGTGCCACAGAGGACAGGGTTTTGAAAGTTCATTGTATGAAATCCAGGAAAACCTATTCTGGGTCAAATGAGTGCTCAGAATTAGGGCATCACAGCAATTTTAGCCTTGTACTTAGACCAGAGGATCACACGATCTATTTTCCTTGCAGAAGACTGCTGAAATTTAAAAAGAAAATAAAACCAGTAAACTACTTTCTTAAGTATTACTAATGTGGGATCCTAATGTAATAAATGAATAGTTTTATATATATTTGAGTTAAAACCCTTATCTACTTAGAAAGCTCATGATTTTTCCTTGCGTGTGTTTATTGATTATTTCACAGCACATCTGTTTTTGTTAAAAATTATTAATCCATCACCTTTCAAGTACATAATCATACTAGAATATTTGTGAGCAGCCACAACAGGGACAGTAGTGACTGGGTTTCTGAGTGGATGTGCATGCTTCTGGGGAACCTGCTGCTACAGTTAGAAAGAACTGTTTCTCCCCAGTGCAATGAACCCCTGGAACACTAGAACACCTTTACCACGAAGCTGCTGTTCGAGACTTAATGTGACACGTAGTCTTCCCTTTTCCCTGGGCAGAACTAAGGCAGTAACAATTAGTGTTCCAAAATACCTGGGTATATATAACCATGCCTTCTTTCTTAAACGTGTACCCTTTCCAATGTCTCTCTGAACACAGGATTCTTCTGTGCTACTGTAGCATACGATGTGGTATGTGTCTGTGTGAATTTACTTACTGACACTACTTCGTTTCATTAGCTATGACATAAGAGCATTAGAAATGTCCCCCTAGGACAACCCCGCCAAGCCCACGATCTATTGCTATGAAATCCATTGAAAAAGGCAAGAAGAGATGCTGTTTAGCAAGACTCTGTACACCTGGCTACTTTTTGCAGTTTGTTCTCCTCTTACTCCCCCAGAAGCCACACAAGGCCTTTTATTATGTATTTATGGACTTGTTGTCCATAAATCTCTTTACTTGCTTTTCAAATCGTCTGGTACCTCTGCCAGAAGCAAGCTTCGGAACCTCATGACCCTCTGCCTAAAGTGCATATTTTTATGTGTTTTAAACTAATTTCCATACTAGTTCTATCAAGGATGCCCTTTGTGTTATATTGTAGGATTTTAAGAACAAGACCTCCACGTGCACCTTATCCACTACCTCCAAGATATTTTAAACCTTGGCCATGCTCATCTCAGCCTCTTCCTCTCCAAAATGAAGTAGTATCTTTTTTTCAATCTCGTCTCCTAAGCTCCTTGCTCATTTATTTGCCTTTTTTAATGTGTTACAGTGTAATTCCACTCCATTGTTCGTGAGAGCACAGCAACCATAAATTAATGCAATGGTTAAGCTTTGGGTACACTGCAGTTCCAAAACTGGGAAAAATGATGATATCTCTTCTGACAACATCGGTCAGTTTTTGGCTTTTTTTCCTGCTATTCTCATAGAGCTAATAATGTCAGACTACAGTAACCAACAACACTATTATTTTTCTCCAGCTCTATGACTGTCACTTGCAAGTTCAGGATCTTGTAGGAATGGTTGAGGCTATTTTTCCATTGCTATACTACCTTACATTTAATCCAGATCAAAGTTTATTGGCTAGTGTCTTGCCTAATCACTGAGTTTTGTGAGTTTCTTGCCAAGTGAGGCAGCTGTTGGTTGACCAGAAGAGCTTAATGTCACCTGCAGAGCTGGAGATCTCAGTTTTGACTCTCTTCCTAATGCCATTGATTAAAACGTTGAAAAAACTAAACCCAGCACCATTCCTTGGGGAACCATACTGCTGACTTCTCCCTATCCTGAAAGATAACCATTTTTCTTCCAATCCTTCAACGAGCTTTCAAACCAGAAAGATTGCCCCTGTACTCCTGCATAAATGTAGGTTCTTGAATATCTTATAACACGGAACCTTGTCAGACACTTCTGTGTCTACCAGATCCTCTTTGCTCAGGACACAGCTGAAGCCATGCGGACTCTCTCCCAACAGCCTGTGTTTATCCAGGTGCTCAGGGATCCTGTTCTTTTTTATTGGCTATTGCTCCACGAGAAAAGGAACTGAAGACTCCCCAGCCTGTAGTTCAGAGGATCCCCTAAAGATCCCCTTTTCCACGGGCAGGAATTACACTGCAATCTGCCAGTCCTCTGGCAGAGTGGCTGTTTGAAACAACAGCTTACGCACCATGGCAAGCAGTTCTGCAATTTCCCAATTGCATTCTTCCAGGAATCTCATGTGACTGCCACCCTAGATACCTGTTACCGTCTAACACACCTGTCTGGTCTTACATCCTTGTCTATTTCCTTCCACTTGATCCAGCTCCTCTGGTATTTCAGCTTATAAGGAATGTGCAAGGTATGAGAACCCCTGCAACATTTCATCTGGAAAGGCCAACACAATTCAGTGAACTTCCCCTTCATAGCTCTATCATCCCTGAGTGTCCCTTTCACACTTGTGTTATCAGATGGTCCCAATGACTCTCTAATTGGCTTCCTGCTTTTGATGTATTTCAAGTCCCTTTTGCTATTTGTTTGAGTGTTTATTTTCTACAGAGCTCTTCACATTCTTCCTGAGTGCTCTTCATTTTCTGTTTGCAATTGACCTGCTAGGCTTTAGGGCTTCCATTCGTCTCCTCATGCAGGCAAGATTTCCATTTTTAATACATTTTTATGATGAGCAAATGGCTGCTTCTCTGTTACTGAAGGTGACAATGAAAACTGAATGACAAAAACCCCAAACAACCCAAAACCTGAACCACATCCTCCAGAACAAAGCTGCAAATTCCCTCCAGAACAAATGACAACATAATTAAATTTCAGGTATTCCTTTTCTTTAAGAAAGGTATGAGAAATGGTAACTGTTGTAACTTTTAGTCACTGCTGTAGCTGGCCAGCAGCTTCCCAGGTATCTGGGAAGAGGTAAGCTCACTGAGCAGAAGCCCAGCACAAGACCTGTGCACCACTTAAATCCCACTAATCCAACAAAATAGTCTAAGCGGGATTTAATTAGCAGAGAGGCCTACACTAGCCCTCATGAGCTGGAGTGAATTTCACCTTTATTTGTCAGCTGAACTTGACTGATTTAACACTCATTAGTTGAAATATTACATATTCATCAGGCTGGAAGGAAAAAATATTCAGGCAGAGGGATTGTTGCTGAAAAAGAAAGTCCAAATCCAGAAAGCGAGTAAACTTGGATGGGAGTGTCTGTGAGTGCAGAAGGCCACTGCTTTCCTGGACACAGCAGGAGGGTGCTGGCTGCTGTGACCCCGGGGCTGTGACAGAGCTCTGCAGGGCAGGCACACGCACACACACCCACGCACTGTGCTGGCACTTGGGCTGCAGCCTGGGCACGGTCTCAAAACATTCTTATCATTTTCTGACAAAAGAGGTAGTCCATGTGGCTTCTCTGAATGATGACAGAGTGTATCAAAGTAGTAAAATTAACGTGCCTTCAAATCCACATAGAGAAGGAAGAAGCAATTTTTCTATGTAGACGCAAAACCGCTTCACAATGATTCATACACATCTAGTTAATAGCTTTGTACTACTGATGCCGAAGGAATCAGAGCCAGAGCTATCAGCATTATAACATTCTAATTTCACCCATTATATTTACAAAGAACATTGTTTCATTGTGCAACTTTCGATCCCTGACTCTCATCCAAAAGTCTTTCCTTTTACAATGTTCTACAAGGATGATGGGAGGATGATTTCAGCACAAATCATTCATTTGTTTTCAACGAACACAGGCAGAGTTAAAACATACTTTTCTATTTTGAGATAAAGCTGACATTCTTGTCAGTGGAATATTCAGAAACAGCAGAGCATAAACATTCCAAAATGTGTGGATGGTATCATTGGCTGTCCTCTGGCCCCTAGTCGCGAGACATCTTTTCTTTCGCTTTTTTATAGTTGTTGAGATTCAAGCAAGTGCAGGAGTATTAGCAGGACTGGGCACTAAGTAAGCATGAAGAAAATTTAAAATAACGGTTGTTTCTTTTGCCTGCCAACTACAATAATTCTATTAGACTTTCAAATGCGTGTCTCTGACACTGAGGAGCTATGCCCAAGAGCAACTGAATTTTCTGTGTATTGAAACTTTTTCATTGTACAAAATATCACATTCTACCATGTCAATTATTTTTATTTGCTTACTTTTTAAAACCAGAAGATACTTAATTTAAAATCATACATTAGCACATCATTAAAGCTGCAGTTTTTGAATGCACAGCAGTAAGATGCTAAACCAAAGATTTTGATGTACAGCTATTCAAAAGCACATACATTGATTTCAACAGGAGTTATGCCTGCAGCTAAGTATTCTTCCTGGACAGTATCAGAGTCTCGACTGGAGGCCTCAGTTTATTAAATTGTGTGGACATCTACATCACATCTGTAAAGCAGACTCTTTGCAGAGAATTAAAAGGAACAATCACTCAAATAAAGACGCATTCCCTTTTCACTTTGAGTAGAAAATATGATGCCTTTCAAACTCATTTCTCTGCTGTCTTGCATTCAGGGTTTGCTCTCCTGCATATTTTCAGAGCATGCCTAAAGGCTTGCATCACAATATGGAGGCATAGGACCTACCCCTCTCCTCTTGCCAGGTTCAGTGGTTATAGAACTCACCTGAGATACGTAACTTCTCTGTTACACCCAACTTCCCATATATCAAGGCTCACAGAGTGGCATGTCTGTCTGCAGCTGCAGAAAGGTGCCTTAGATAAGAGGCAGGAGGCATTTGCTGTAGGGACTACCTTAGCTGTACCTCCTGCGATGCAGGGCTCAATGGATTCAGCTACCAGATGCTGATGCCCAAAAGAGGAAAAATGCAAATAACAAAAGAAGCTTTACTTTTTATTGAAAATGTAAAAATCATGTGAATCATGTACAATATTTTCTCATAAGGAAAATTTTAGCTGTTTCATAACGTTTCACAAAACTGTAAAACATTTCATTTTTATAAAGCTTTTTCATAAAACAAAGATACAACTAAAGCAGTATTACAAAGCTATTTTCTAAATCATCAACAAAGAACTGAAAATGTTTAACAGATTAATTCATACAACTGGCAGGAGGAAGGACTCTTCCATTTGTAAATCTGCAAGAGGACACACAAAGGTATAGAGGGGCATGGGTTTTTTGTTTCAAAATGTTTAAAATCAAGTGACATGTTAAAACAGTACAGACGTGGATTCATAGGATGGTACAAGTTCTAGGACTGCATTTCTCTAGACTACCTCAAACAGTGCAACAGTGATTCAGTGTAAATCTCTACAGTGTTTCATTGATTCAATACTTGTGTTCAAGTATGTGTCCATGAGAATGATCAAAATCCCTACTTAGCTATTTTAATTTTCTTGTTTATAAGTTACAGTAGATTATCCCCTTCAGTATGTTTGTAAATCAAATGAACTGATTTCACAATACATTCTGTAATAACCTGTTCAATAATCTTAGCTTACTCACTTCAACATCTGTTGCAAAATACACAAGATCATTCTGACTCTGAATGCCAAAAAATATAATAAAATTAAAAAGGGCTTTATTTCCATACAAAACTATTCAGCTAAATTAAAATAAATTCAAGATAACATGACTTTTTTTTGGCAACAGAGAGACGACCCTACTGAAAATAGACATATAAAATACTAGTTACTATTTTTAAAAAATTCTGATAAATGTATCCAAAATTGTTCATATAAAAATTAATTAAGAAAATTTCAGATGATAAAACAAGTTGGCTGTCTAAACGAAACAATTAAGGATGTCTGGCAGGCAAAAATAAATTAATTTGATTAAATTATATCTAATCTGATAATATTTGGTCTGAAGAAGCGTGCGTGTGTGTGTGTGTGTACATGTGTGTGTGTTTATAAATAATAAGATTGCAAAGAGCTGAGAGCCAGCCAGACTGACAGAGGTCAACTCTTTTGTTGCATTTTTTGCGCATAGAAATCCCTGCACGTCTCACAGCACCGCTGATACCACCTCATGTCTTGACAGAGGTTCTTCTCTCTTATCACCCTGCAGTACACAGGCCACTGGTCTCCCAGGCACTTGAATGTTAAAGCAGCTGTGAAAAAACAACAACAAAATCAAATATACATTATTGTTACATTTATTAATGAAGAATCAGGTAGCAAAGGTGACAAAGATCTGGGGAGGGGAAACGAGAATAGATGTAGATAAGTAGAAAGGAGAATATATGCAGCCCTGATACAATTAAATCTAGCCATGGCAAGAAAAAAAGCTTCTACAGGTACACTGGTGATGAAGGGAAGACTAGGGAAAATGTGGGCCCTCTCCAGAAGTAAACAGGAGACCTGGTTACCAGGTGTATGAAGAATGCTGAGGTACTCAATGACTTTTTTTCCTCAGTGTTCATTAGCAAGTGCTCCTGCCACACCATCCAAGTCACAGAAGGCAAAGGCAGGGACTGGGAGAATGAAGAACCACCCAGTGTAGGAAAAGATCAGGTCTGAGACCATCTAAGGAACTTGAAGGTGCACAAGTCGATGGTACCTGATGAGGTGCATCCACGGGTCCTGAGGGAACTGGTGGATGAAGTTGCTAAGCCACTATCCATCATATCTGAGAAGTTGTAGCAGTCCAGTGAAGTTCCCACTGACTGGAAAAGGGGAAACGTAATCCCTATTTTTAAAAAGAGTAAAAAGGAAGACCCGGGGAACTACACGCCAGTCAGTCTCACCTCTGTGCCTGGCAAGATCATGAAGCAGATCATCCTGGGAACTATGCTAAGGCACACAGAAACTAAAGAGGTGATTAGTGACAGCCAACATGGCTTCACCAAGGGCAAATCATGCCTGACAAATTTGGTGGCCTTCTACAATGAATTTACAGCATTGGTGGATAAGGGAACAGCAAAGGATGGCCTCTACTTGGACTTGTGCAAAGCATTTGACAATGTCCTGCGCAACATCCTTGTCTCTAAATTGGAGAGACACAGATTTGATGGATGTCCCACATGGTGGATGAGGAACTGGCTGCATGGTCACACTCAAAGAGTTGCGGTCAATGACTGAATATACAAGGGGAGACCACTGATGAGTGGCGTTCCTCAGGGGCTGGTGTTGGGACCAGCACTGTTTAACATCTTTGTTGGCAACAGGGACAGTGGAATTCAGTGCACCCTCAGCAAGTTTGCCGATGACCACAAAAACGATCAGAGGGATGGAACATCTCTCCTGTGAGGAAAGGCTGAGAGAGTTGGGGATGTTCAGCCTGGAGAAGAGAAGGCTCCGGGGAGACCTTATAGCAGCCTTCCACTACCTGAAGGGGGCTACAAGAAAGCTGGAGAGGAACTTTTTACGAGGGGATATAACGATAGAACAGGGCTAATGGCTTTACTCTAAAAGAGGGTATTCTAAGGAAAATATTCTTTACTCTGAGGGTTGTGAGGCACTGGAACAGGTTGTACAGAGACTTGGCAGATACCCCCTCCCTGGAAGTGTTCAGGGCCAGGTTGGCTAAGGCTTTGAGCAACCTGGTCTAGTGGAAGGTGTCCCTGCCCATGGCAGGGGGGTTGGAACTGGATGATCTTTAAGGTCCCTTCCAACCCAAACCATTCTATGATTGGTTCTATGATTCTATGATATTCCACAAGACAAAAAAAAAATCCTCCTGCTGTCAATATTTTCAACATTAAAATTTTTTAAGGCCATCTTAATTTATAAATGGGATTAAGTTGCATTGAAACAAATTGGTTTAATGTCATGCAGCTGTCTCCTCATGAAAGAGTGAAGCCCATCTTTCTGCCCTATACAGAGGCAGTCTGGGGCTGTGGCCAGGGCTATGTGGGGAGTGCAGAGCCAGCTCCAGCAAAGCTGCACGAAGCACAGCTCCATCTGAAAATGCCTTCAGTCTGAGATAGAAGTTGCCACTGGAAAAACAGCAAGCCTCAGCCTGAATAACACTAGAATGGGGTTCTCGATGACATCTATATGGAGACTTTTTTTTAATCAGAAACAGGTAAGGAAATGTAGGAATTAAAGTATGGAAACTGCTGTTGGTTTTCTGATCAGCTTTTGCTCAAGAAATCAAGACTGTGCCATGTTGTCAATGAATGGAAATTGGAACAAACCTACATCTTACATCATCTTTCTTTGTAAGTAACATAATCAGCTAGACCTTTAGTTTTGTATGGCTTCTTTGTTCAAAGCAACAGAAATATATTGCTTGAATGCTACAGATGCCACACTGTGGGCACTCTTACAAGGTTTGAAGACTGTTGGCAAGTCCCACAGTACATATGGTAATGCAAATCCATTTTACCCAGAAAAATGAAACTTACAGTATGGAATCAATGATAGTTGATATGTTGCCAAATATTCTTGTCCAAGCCAAATTATTGCATTTTGTGCTTTACAAACGTACATATACTGTGAATTTCTTACCTTCCTGGCCTTTCTCTCTCCTCTCCAAGTACATTCAAAGTGTTTGTTTTGTTTTGTTTTTTTAAATTGCCTTCCAATGCATTGGTCTGACTGCATCACCCTCTTTTTAATCACTCCTACAGGTCTTCCCTCCTCCATGTCGAAGTCACACTATTAATCGTTACCTTCACATCTTTCATGTCTTATCTTCACCCAGTTACTCAGATTGATCTATTAGTAGTCTGTTGCTGCTTTGTGTCTGTGGGAATCCCTGGCTACCAAATTCTTCCTCAGAAACCTTCTAAAATGATAAGGACATCACACTAGCCTCAAAAGCCACTGTTTGATTTACCCTACCTCCTCCTACAGTTGTTATAACTGTTAGCTTCTCTTTAGCAGTCATAAACATAAAAAATGCACAGGCCTACTGTATGCCTGTTTTACAAGACAGGCATATTTTCATGTGTGTTTTTTTCTTGTGAAGCAATCTTTTAATCCACTCACCTGTTTCACTTACAAAAGCCTCTTACAGTACTTATCATATAAGCACCCTGATACCAAATTTGTGTCTTTGCACATTCAGTTATTGAAACAGTAGCACATACATGGAATTAATTCGGGAAAACAGTGAAAAATAGGGCACAAGAAACAGATATAATCCAAAAGTCATCATAAACACTGAACCAGAAAAAAAAACTCAGTCTCACAGAAGATTTAAGTTACTCTCCCGGTGCAATCCACATTAGCTTCCATTAGCCCTATCCCCAAAACCAGAGGATCTGTACTGCATAATAGGAATGGGACTCGATGTCAAAACGATCAATATATTGAAGGGAAGCATTGCATTATATATTTTGGAGATGTTAATGCTTCTGCTGGTCTGGATTCTGACTCCTGCTGGATGAGGTTGATTTGTAGATTACTAAATCAGTGCTACATAATCTGTACTATGAGGACAACATAGCCAAATGTTTTTTTGTCCACTTCACAGTAAGTCAAATTTTAATGAATCTCATGCTGTATTTTTTCTGTGAAACTCTGTGATTCACTTTACTCTGTGACACAAAGCTGCTTATATCTCACCAGAGGGAGAGTGTCAGTGATGGAGTGATGGCCTCTTGCTTCTGAGAGATCAGCTGAATAAAGAAAAATAAAGTATGATATGCAACCTTACAACAGTGAAATAGCAGGGGAGAGGGCCATAAGCAACGTAAGAGATCTCATCCAGCAAACTGAAACAATTACTACTACACAGAAATGTTTAACGGTCAAAAACTTCAAAGAAAAATACCTGTCACTGACTTAAAAGAAGGATTACATAGAGCCTGAAATGTTAGACTTGCTTTCCATGCAGGAGTAATCTGTTTGGCAGAATGGTTTATCTTAACAAGGGCTCTGGAAAATCATCTGGAAAGGGTATGCTGTTTTACAGCAAGCCTTTGAATATTCCCAGGTCATGCTCAAGAAGTAGATTAATGACTTTGGGAGCTAGTGGTAAGACCATCATCAACAACTCACTAGAAAACAACAATTAATAGAATTAACAGTTCTGTAGTTATGCAGTAACATAATTTCTTTAAGACCAAGAGAGACCTGAGTTCCCCCAGAAACAGCAAATCTCTTCATGTTAGTAATTTTCCTCCACACATCCTATTCCATCAGGCATAGACTGTAGACATTTGAACTAAAGACAAATGGAAAGAGCCATTTGTATTCGAGGAACAAGTAAGGGCCTTCTTAATCTCACAAACCCAAGATAATTTCTTACTTAAAATGGAGTGGACAAATATACACAAACGTATATAACATGTTTATAATGTGTCTAATATGAACATACTTTCATCTTGGATGTTTTGTGTCCATAATATCATACAGTCCTATAATATGGCCCTTCCTTGGATAACAAAACCCTTCACCTTTCTGAGCTACAGTCTCTGACTGGAAAACCAAGGCAGAGAGATGAGTGTCTACATAGAATTCACATTTCCTGAATCCTAGCCCTCTGTTTTTAAACTGGGATTGTCATTACTCTATGGAGAGAAAGAACTAAAAGGAAAGTGTCATTTTGACTGCTTACCTAACCTGGGTGACGTTATTGTGTTAACATTAATTTTTTCATTGCAGGCGTGGAGGTGGCAGGGTCTGTAGGCTGCAGGCTTTTCTGAGGAAAAGCATTCATTGCCATGCCTTCCTGTGATCTTGTGCATGCACTGGATGACTCGGGACTGCATCCCTTTGCCACAGGTGACGGAGCACTGGAACACACAGAAGACACACATTCATTCGAAAGGTATTTATGTCTGTAAACATGAAGGTGAAACGCCAGTCCAGGTGAAGTCAGTGGCTGCTCCTTCAGTTGTCAACATTCCAAGATTCCTGCCTTCTGTTCTGTTAACTAAATGAAAGTCAATTAAAAAAGCACAAATAAATTGGCAGCATTTATCGGAGGACTGATTCCAGCATCCTGTTGCTGTCAAGGTCCATTTTGTATTTTTCCTGTGATGAAACTGAAATGCAGCAAGGTGCCTGAAGGAAGCAGGGGCTGTTCTCCTGTATCTGTATACTCATTTACTCTTATTAGAGGTGCAAGTGATGGAACAACAGAAAATGCTCACAGACACTAACAGAGAGAAATATTTTTAATGAGGCTACGTCTCCTGCCAGTGCAAAAGTGCTCTTTCTACCAAGCAGAATGTGTAGATCCTGTCTTTGCATCACGTCTTCATGTTTTCACGTGTGTCCCACAAACGAAACACACAACGTGACACGGGGTGCCTGGCCATTAATCAGCATTCTCATCTTGTTGCCATACAGAATAAGGTGAGAAAATAAAACAGCAGAGCACTGTAACTCTGGTAACTCTAATTCTATCACAGTAACATGATATATTAGAATGAAAACTTGGGCAGTGCTGTACAGATGCACACAAAACCTATTCCAAACCAACAAATTACATGGCTTCCCCTTTACTGACTTTTTGTGAAGAAAATTTCACAGGGCATGAATTGTTTTTGTGTCCAATGATATATATTCTATTGCTTGAACTACAGATTCATTCAAAAAATTATATATTGCAATTTGCTCCTACCTGCTAATGATTTTGACTCAAGTACCCACAAATTTTATTCAGTTTTGGATAAATTTACTATAGAGGACATCTTCAAATGTTAATCAATTTATTGCAATGAATAATATCAGTAATGGCTAGAAAATCTATGCCACTATCATACCACTACTAATCCTGAAAATACTTTTATTCTAAAAAAGTTTTAATTACATAAATATTCAGAACACATTTCCTTGGGAGGCTTCACGAAGCAGCTGAAAAAATACTGACATGAGAGAAAAAGGCAAGGAGAGGGTGCTGCATGCAAAGATATTCAATTATGAATACATAATTTTCTATTCAATAGCAACCACAGCTTAACCTATGAACAAATAAGCTGTATGCAGGAGGAAATCCAGCTAGTTACTGAAGTATTTTCAAAGCAGAAATCTGTCATCAACTTTGAACTTAGTATATTGCTTTTAAATTGCATGAGAAAAAGCCTCTGAACAGAATTCTTTTTCCTGAATTCTCTGCCTTTTCCCCGTGCAGCTAAAAATAATCTGACTTCCTGTATACCCAAATTTAATCAACAGCAGCAGCCAGAACAGTGATTTTAGTCTTGCCAAAATTCCAGCCACTTCTTGGATTCCTGTCTCCATAATTTCAGAGAGGTTTCTCTTTGGAATATTGTAATGGAACAGCAAATGAGACAATGGAACAGCAAAATTAAAAACAAACAAACAAACAACACAAAAACCCCCAAAACCTGAGAATGAAGGAAAGATGAAGATAATGCGATGAAGATAAGATGATGAAGATAATGCGATGAAGATGATGAAGATAATGCGATGAAGACAAGATGATGAAGGTAAGAGGATGAAGATAATCTTTAGAGATTATTACAATGATCTTAATTTAAAGTAATTTTGCACACAGTATTGTACTTCTTTCCCTTCACTAAAACACTCACGTGTTTATTAACCAAAGTTACAGTATGTGTGAGCTTGTAGTATGTAGATGTTCTTTTATCAGCCACAGAGGAGGAGGACAGGACAGGCAGGTGGGTTTGGTACATAAGTTCTCTTAAAAAATAATATATTTGCCCTTAACCTTTGGTTATCCTAAAATGAGCAGGTACAACCTAGTCATCTAGAGTACTGGAGAGGAGAACAGGATTTGAAGACACTAGACTTCTGCTGACAAAATGGGCTCCAATGGTTTATCTACTAATTGATAATTTGTAACAATTCATGTATGCAGGTGTCTTTTTGGAGAACTCTCTGACAGCAGTCCTATCTTCTCTATATCAAATGAGCTCTGGCCTGAAAATTTCTTGTGACTGCAACTGAGACAATATGCAACAAGCAGACAGATCTCTCTCTTGGCCAATCTGTGTTTAGGCCTTGAGTTTCTATGGAGAATTTGGCAAGATTTTGGCACTAAAATCCTAAGTGGTGAATTAACATCCCTTTAATGACTGAGCCACTACTGACCTTTGTGAGATGTTTCAAAGAGCCTTATGAAGCATTACAATGTAGTTTTCTATCCAAAGATGTATACAACTTGCAAACAATTAATTTCAGTCTTGCACGACATACTTATTAACATCCCAACTTTAGAGGAAGAAACTGACACTAAAGGATGATGAAATAAAATGTCTCAGTTCATATAAGAAATATGTGGCAAAACAGGAAATAAAACAAGAAATTTGCTTCTGTTTTATCTTCTTTTCACAGAAATGTACTGATTTTTAACTTTGTATTTACTCTTATTTTATAAAACAGAGAACCTTTATTAAGTCTTGTAAGATGTTTGAGGAAAATTGTGAAGAGGCAGGGCTTCCACACTGACTTGCAATCCAAAACTTTCAAAGCCAGACTGATAGTTTATAAGTAAAGAGAGGTTTTTCAAACCACTAGTGTTTTAAAATCAACCAGGGACCTGATAGTCAAGCTGTGCTCTTCCCTGTTCACACAACTTCAGAATTAAGAATTCTACTGACTGGAAGTCAGAACAAAATATCTTTTTACTATATCTATACTACGTCACATTCAAAGTAGTATGAAATAGTATGAAATAGGGAAAACACACTTCAAGTGTGGCAATCAGCAATGCATCTGCTAGCTACACAGACAAACAGAGAGATTTCTGTTTGTCTCCATGAAGTGGTCTTAAACCTGAATTTGTGCTGCACACATATCAGCCTGGTATAACTGAGAGCAGCCACTGAACCCTGGAGGATAAAAGGCATCCATAATAATTTTCTTTTCACTCTGCAGAGGTATGGACTTGGCCCAGTTTCACTAGAAGACACCTCAACTTCTGCAAACCAGCTACATGCATCTCAGAGCAACAGCTCTGACCCTCATTTTCATACTCATTTTACTGCATATGCATGTATGCATTCGAGCTGAAGCAGACTCTTCCAGAACCGTCTCCTAAGCTTGCCTCAGTTTTAGATTTCTCTCACAGAAAATATTCAGCCTGAGGCAAATACCTCTCACTGGATATGCAGCTGTCACATTTTAGGTAGCACTTGTGGTATGTAGCTAAAGTTGCATGGCTTCTGTATAATTCTGGAGTTTTCATGTTTAAAACCGTAACAAAGTTTTCAACTTACAGTAAACAAAAAATACTTCCACTTTTCCATATTAAGCAGTGAATTTAATCAGAAAGCAATCTATCTGTCAAAGTTGCTTGTATTTTCCATGGTTTTACACATAAATATTAATATAAAGCTTACGTATATAAAATTTACAGAAAATGCCCACTCTGTACCAATCTCTAGCAACTTGCATTGATTCAGCAGCTCTCAGACTAATTCCAAACCACAGCATTTGTTACTAATGAATGGAGAATACTTCTCTACAGCTCTTCTTCCCACCCCACCCACCTCCCAAATGCCACTCTTGCACATGGTACACCTTATTTTTGTGGTTAATTACATATCACTTCTGACTGTTCAGATGACCTACACTTTAAGGCCATGTAGCTGATTAGCAAAAATTCCCGCAGGACAACTGTGTTTGTAGGTTTAGACTAAATGTTCTAATACGCAGCCAGAGTCTTTTTATGTGGCTGTTAATCTGTGCATTTTGGACACAGTCCTAAAGGTACTGTAAAACCGTTCAAGCAGCAAGACATGTAAAACATTCCTGTTAACGATTACAAAAAATTCCTGGATAAATATAGTTAACAGCTATATTTTTTTTAAAGTTTTTCTTTCTTTCAAATAAAATCTACCCACCCTGTTTGAATTTTGTCCTACTTTTGAACTGCTTTTAGACATAATTTCAAGGACAGAAACCTAGGTGTTAAATATAACAATCCTTACACTTGGCATGCACACCCGTTACCCAAGATTCCTTCTTTGTGTTCTCTGCCAAAGATATATATTCTGGAGAGAATACATATTCCTAAGGCCAACAGCTGAGGAAGGTGCTGTAATGCCTTAGCTGCTTCCAGCTGGCCTTCATAAGAAGTAGGAATTCCTAAATTAAGGGAAAAATTGTTACTGGCAGACAGTAACGGTCAAAATGCATCCTTCTGCCAAGACAACAGGCAATCACTGCAGAGGCTGATACAATCCTCAATGAAAAAAACAATCTGTGACAATATTAACAGAATTGACTTGGACAATTTATTTTCAAGAATAAATGGATTGTTCAATAAAAGATTTTTACAAGTCTAAGTAGCATTCAAAGTGGAGAGCTATGTGCTCATAAGGAAACTCAGCGATGAGTTCTACTGGAAATTATTAGCAGAGCATTCCTAATCATTTATGTATAGGTTCATCAGTTCCAGCATTTAAGCAGTTTCAACCTTTTCATAAAGCGAGTATGAAACAAGGATAGCAGGCAATCAGACTTTAGCAACAGGATTCATATTTGCTGACATGCTTGCAAGCTCTTCGTGTATCTTGTACTTTTACGAAGTTTGCTTTTGAAGGCAGGTAGCAGAGAAAGTGGTGCACTTGTTTTCAACAAAGACTTTATACTGAGTTTAGCAATATTCTTAAAGGTTACTAAATAAAGCAAATGATCTGCAGTTTATTTAAGAGCATTTTTTATAAAGGCATTTGCGAATAGTGTAACTAAGACAAAAAGAGGGACTAATGGATCCAGACGTAAGATGGAGCCTGAGTTGTCCCATGCATCATTTCCAGGAAGGTCTTTCTGCCTCTCTCATTTCTGACACACCCAACAC